TGGAACAGTGTCTAGTACACTGTTCAGACTATTTATTTACCAAATCAATGAAATCTCTGAAGCCAAGTATCCTGAAGATACCCTATTACAATCTCATCTTTTACAACTTCCTATTTTGCAATCTGGTTTCATATTGAACTGAAATTTGGCGTTATATATAGACACTGGTTTCATTTACTCGACTAAAACAAAATGTGTTTTGATATTCAAAGTAGCATACGTACAATAAAAAAAATGTTTAGATAGAGGACATCATGTTTTATAATTGTATAACTCATAAGGCCGGAGATGTGTTTGGGGAAATTTAAGTTGTTAGGTAGTCTATGGTTAGTCCTCTTTAGTCCTCTCTGTGGTGCCGATGGCAAAGGAAGTTGCTAAACACATAATAGAGCATAATTTTGTCTGTATTGAAAGGCAAGACAGACACAATCAACTGGCTTTCAGTCAACAACTATAAAAAGGATAAACTATGAAAAACATACAAGAAAATAAGTAAAATTTTCGGAAATATAGTATTTTACTTTTGAATGACTGACTACTTGGTGTCTTTAGAATAATTTCCACAGCCTTAAGGGATGAGAACATGGATTTGAATTGTGGTTTCCACTTTGGGATTTGCCTTTTTTTTTTTTTTTCAGCTAGCCTCACTGATAATTTTCCCTCTTCAAGAACTTAGCCCTTTAACAAGAACAAGCCTAGAGGGCTGCCAATTTAAGAGCTGGTGCCAAAGGAGGGACCATTCAGAGTGCTTTAATGCGAAAATGGTAAGAATACCTCTGAGAAAGAGAAAAGTGGTCAACATTGAGTGAAATATCAATTTCAAGAGCCAGGGAAGGAGCACGAGATCAGAACCACGTAGCAAGACAAAGTAGGGAGCCGGGATCTCAAAAACATGTTTGAAAATTAAAGACGAGGTCCGTAATACAAGGTAAGGTTATTTGCCATTAATAACCCAAGTATATCTGTCCCTTGAAAAGCAAGGTGAAGTAATTGCATTCCCCTGGTCTCTGCTAAACTTCTGTCACAAGGGCGGGGGTCACATGGACAAGTGAGTGGCCCTGTGCAGCTGTTAGCCAAGAAAGATGTCTTGATAACGACCTCACAGTGAGGAGGAGGAAGGGTGAGCAGGAGAATCAGAGGCTTTCAATGCAGAGGAATGAGAGAGAAGCTATAAATATGATTCTCTTTAGGCTTTTTCTTGAGACATGCAAGTTGTGAAGTCCCATTTGGGATTTCAGATAATAAAGACTCAGTATCATCTTTCTGGACTGTGCTGAGTTGAATATTTCAAAGCATATTTACTATTCCTGTGAAACTGATGGTTTAACTATGAAGATGAGCTCTGTCCCTGGCAAGAGTGAGGACCTGCTAATCATCTTGTTTTCTCCCGCCTCTCATACACATCATTTTAGGGTACTTCCCTTGCTGTTATTTCCAACCTCACTAATAGAGGAAACCTCTAGACTCAACAAGGAGTGTGTAAGAGTAGCATTACATATATTGTTCCTTCTAGAGACTCGAAACCTCCCCCCCTGCTATCACTCTGGTATGGATTGCTCTGGTGGTAGACCAGATAGATGGTAAGTGAACCAGGTGTAACATGTGGCTTTGCATTGAGAGTCCTGAATGTCCTTATCTACTTCTCTCAACAGACCTAGGAATGGGGTGGACTCTTCGTAGTCACTCAGTACACATGCATGCTGTTAGATGTTTGTCAGAGCCTAAAAATGGTAAAGAAAGGGTAATCAGGAACAAGGTTCCAAGGAGTCATGGTTTGAAAATAACTGTGATACACTGTGCACAAGTATAAAAATGTTATCATTAAACTATGTATAATTAATGCATACTACCAAAGACACATGATAAAATATTTCAACATGTCTTATAATATAAAAAGACTACCATTACATAATAAGCTTATAGTGAAGCTATTATGTTTACTGACTAAATATATTGTGGCTCTAAGAAGTGTCAAGCACTCTTGTGTTAAAATAAGTGAGACACAGAGAGTGGTCACACAGACACATCTCAATATCAGACATCTCCATTTTCTCTCCTCTTTACTGAGTTTCTTAAATATACTTGTCTACCAAAAAAAAAAAAAATGTAGCCATCTCATTGGCTGCATTCGTGAAGGAAACCTACATTTTTCCCATGCCACTGTAGCTGGTCTTAGACCCAAGTACATACAGCAGCACCATTAAGAGGACTCAGTAGGAGAGAGAGAGAGAGAGAGAGAGAAAGAGAGAGAGAGAGAGAGAGAGAGAGAGAGAGAGAGAGCGAGAGAGAGAGAGAGAGGGAGGGAGGGAGGGAGGGAGGGAGGGAACACGAGCATATAAAAATGAATCAAAAAGGATCAGAAGGCTTAGGGGAGGAATTGGAGGGTAGATTTGATCAAATTATGATATATGCATATATGAAATTCTCAATAAAAATAAAAAGCAGCTTCTTCCATCCCCTTAAAATCAAATCTTAGGGAATGGAAAAGGAAATGTCTCTCAATAAGCTTTAGATACAGCCACAACTTTTGTAAGTTCAAGGCCATCACTACATCCGTCAATAGCATACTATCCAAGTGATTGGCCTACGCCTATGGCCGCTTTGATTATCATGATGAACATTTACCAAACTGCTCACTCCGGGATAATATCTAACCGAGATGCAGCCAATATACCTAATATAAACAAGGCAAAGATTTTAAAAGATAATCATTATTTATAGAAGATGGTGAACCTCATAAGGCCAAGGGTCATGCTGTGCTTTGAGATAGAGAAACATCAAGCATCAGTTATTAGACACAGTCCATACAACTAAAACGTTCATCTTAAATAGAAAGTGGAGGGCTGGAGAGATGGCTCAGCGGTTAAGAGCACTGACTGCTCTTCCAGAGGTCCTGAGTTCAAATCCCAGCAACCACATGGTGGCTCACAACCATCTGTAATGGGATCTGATGCCCTCTTCTGGTGTGTCTGAAGACAGCTACAGTGTACTCATCAATAAAATAAATAAATAAATAAATAAATAAATAAATAAATAAATAATGGAGATGATAAACCCAGAAGGACCTCCCCACTGGTTATAACATAAAGACTGCTCAATCGGTTAGTTCTTTGTGAACAGTTAATACGGGCAGTATTCCATATTAGAAAGCAACATCAGTACATGTAGCAGAGATAATGTTTGTTCCATGTATATGATACACACAGAAACCAAGTACTTTGCGATAGCAAGATGACGCAGGGCAGAGAGACGAGCTCAGGGTCCTATGCTCAAGCCCAGTACCATGATCACAGACGAAGATGCAACTTAATACTCAGTGTGTGCCTATGACGTCATTTCTCTATCGTGTCCAGTTTTGCAGGTGAGAACATGGAAGTGCAGAGACCATAAGTAAACTGCACAAGGTGATGCAGGGGCTCAATTTAGCAAGGGTGAGTCTGCATAGACTAGTGGCTGTTTCCCCCTTACTCCTAAGAGTACTTCTCAGGGGGTCCCACTCTAGAGACTAAGAGTGTACTCTCTACAGCTTCCCTACCCTAGTCTATCTTAATGTTCACAAGATTCAATGAGCACAGGGATACCCCTTAAAAGGAACTAGTGCTTGGTGACGCATAAGCAGACAGACTGGTTCTGCCTGGAAGCTCTTAGCCCCTCTCTGTCATATCCTGGAGCCTTGAGCAGGTGAGCCATTTAAGTCCCAGGTCCTTCACCTTTGAAATGTAGATGGCAGCCGGACCTGCAGTCTGCTGATGTTGATGGAAACAGAATGAAGCCTTCATTTAAAGGACTTAGAAAGCACTCAGTAAATGTTCTTAGTGCAATGAATGGAGCAGCATCAGGAAACTGTGAACCAAATGATCTTGGGGTTCTAAAACGAGCGCTAAAAAAATCATTTATTTCTCTTCTGATAATAATAATAATAATAATAATAATAATAAAAGCCCAGAGCAACCAAAACAAGCCGAAACCCAGTCATAGACATTAAACCAATCATATCTTTTGTGGGAAAATCAGATTAGCCCTATTAATTTGTGTGTCATTAGTCACCCCCTCTATCGTCAAGCCGATGTCGTCCAGCATCCTGAGACACCTTGCATAATATAATCATTGTGACTCCCAGAGGTCAAACAGGCACTCTCTTATTGCAGCTTTGTGCAGAGCTCAATAATTCATTTTATAAATTTCAGCTCAAAGCCTACACTGAGGTTAAGAAAAAAATTGACATTCGATCTGTGAACTTAACGTCAAGCTCTAGAAGAAGGGAGAAAAAAAAAAAACCTCTAAGAAGCACATGTTTGTCGATTAAGCAGACGCAGACAGCACAGGCGTTGCCAAATTGTAAAACAAGACTTGGATATCACGAAAAATGTTGCTAGTTATTGATTACGTTGACCATTCACTTCCTATTGAGCCACCCAAAAGAACCATTCATTTTCCAGCCGAGCCTGCTCATTTGCAAGATAAAAGAGAGCCCCAGCTCTGCACATGCCCATAGTGTTCCTCACCACTGGGGGCAGCTTTACATAAGACTGCATTCACTGAAACCGAAGCAACAGTCCGAGCAGCTTTCAGAATGACAGTCTGCAGGAGTGAGCTGAGCGTGTGCGCGGAACCGGGCTCTCTCGCCTTCTGGGCTCCAACGCAGCTCCGTGGCTGAACGGGGTGCTCGCCACCTCGGGACCGCCGGGCTATGGAATACAGATGTGGCTGCACAGGTAGCCCCACGTTGCCTAGAGGAATACATCATGGGTTTTGAGAAGAAATTGTAGGAGCCAGCTTTTTTGTTTGTTTGTTTGTTTTTTTTGGCTTTTTTTAACACACACACACGCACACACACACACACGCACACGCGCGCGCACACACACACACACACTGTAAAGATGCAAAAACGTAATATCCATGAAGATCCTATTACCTAGGAAGACTCGGATGTTTTGCTGCGAATGCGGTGTTGGGATTTATTTGTTCTTGGAGTGTTCTGCATGGCTGGTAAAGAATAATGTTCCAAAATCGGTCCATCTCCCAAGGGGTCCAATTTTTCTTCTTGGGTGTCAGCGAGCCCTGACTCACTGTACTGCAGCTGACAGGGGCTGTCATGCAGGCGGCCCCTAAGCCAAAGCAAAAGACCTAAGGACGACCTTTGAACAATACAAAGGATGGGTATGTTTTGATATTTTTCTTCTTTCCTTCTTAAAAAAAAATTGAAAAAAAATCTAAGTCTGTGTAATAATTTTGCTTTGTTTTAAAGATTATCTTTTCTCTGGTCCTAGACTATAAATTCAATTATCAGTGGACACATTTCCTTGTTTAGCTGTTAGAAATATACAAGATCCTTATATTACGAAGATGATATTTGATGCTGAATGGTATCTAAATGTTTAACATTTCTGAATTTGGAAACAGACAGCTAGTTTTGCTTTTTTTAAAAAAAATGCATTCGTTTTGGGGGGATAACTTTTCTAAGTTGTTTTTATTTCCAGGTTTCAATGTAATTAGGCTACTGCGCGGATCAGCTGTAGCAGTGGTTCTAGCGCCCACTGTCTTATTGACAATGCTTTCTTCAGCTGAACGAGGATGTCCTAAGGGTTGTAGGTGCGAAGGCAAAATGGTCTACTGTGAGTCTCAGAAACTGCAGGAAATACCCTCAAGTATATCTGCCGGTTGCTTGGGTTTATCCCTTCGCTACAACAGCCTCCAAAAACTTAAGTATAATCAATTTAAAGGGCTCAATCAGCTCACCTGGCTCTACCTTGACCATAACCATATCAGCAATATTGACGAGAACGCTTTCAATGGGATACGCAGGCTCAAAGAGTTGATTCTGAGTTCCAACCGAATCTCCTATTTCCTTAACAACACCTTCAGACCTGTGACCAATTTACGGAACTTGGACCTGTCCTATAATCAGCTCCATTCTCTGGGATCTGAACAGTTCCGGGGCTTGAGGAAGCTTCTCAGCTTACACCTCCGCTCCAACTCCCTGAGAACCATCCCGGTGCGGATCTTCCAAGACTGTCGCAACCTGGAACTTCTGGACCTGGGATACAACAGGATCCGAAGTTTAGCCAGGAATGTCTTTGCTGGCATGATCAGACTCAAAGAGCTTCACCTGGAGCACAATCAGTTTTCCAAGCTCAACCTGGCCCTTTTCCCAAGGTTGGTGAGCCTTCAGAACTTGTACATGCAGTGGAATAAAATCAGTGTCATAGGACAAACCATGTCCTGGACGTGGAGCTCCTTACAGAGGCTCGACCTGTCTGGTAATGAGATCGAAGCCTTCAGTGGACCCAGTGTCTTCCAGTGCGTTCCCAATCTGCAACGCCTCAACCTGGATTCCAACAAGCTCACATTTATTGGTCAAGAGATTCTGGATTCTTGGATCTCTCTCAATGACATCAGTCTTGCTGGAAACATATGGGAATGCAGCAGGAATATCTGTTCCCTGGTAAACTGGCTGAAAAGTTTTAAAGGTCTGAGAGAGAATACAATTATCTGCGCCAGTCCCAAAGAGCTGCAGGGGGTGAACGTGATCGACGCAGTGAAGAACTACAGCATCTGTGGCAAGAGCACGACCACAGAGAGGTTTGACCTGGCCAGGGCCCTCCCCAAGCCCACGTTTAAACCCAAGCTCCCCAGGCCGAAGCACGAGAGCAAGCCTCCGCTGCCCCCCACGGTGGGAGCTACCGAGCCCAGCCCAGAGACAGATGTGGACACGGAGCACATCTCCTTCCATAAGATCATCGCGGGCAGCGTGGCCCTTTTCCTGTCGGTGCTGGTCATCCTCTTGGTAATGTACGTGTCCTGGAAGCGGTACCCGGCGAGCATGAAGCAGCTGCAGCAGCGCTCCCTCATGCGAAGGCACCGGAAGAAGAAACGGCAATCGCTCAAGCAAATGACTCCAGGCACCCAGGAATTTTATGTAGATTATAAACCCACCAACACGGAGACCAGCGAGATGCTGCTGAACGGAACGGGACCCTGTACCTATAGCAAATCGGGCTCCAGGGAATGTGAGGTATGAACCATTGCGATTTAAAAGAGAGAGAGAGAGAGGGAAAGAGAGAGAAAGAAAGAAAAAAGAAACAGAGAGCGCGCTCTTAAAAGCTGGGAAATAAGGGGTGCTTTATTGAACTCTGCTGTCTATCAGGGAACACGGTGCCCCTCCCCTGCCCCTCCCCCTCACTGCGCTGGCAAGAGCCTTCCCTGTCCCTCAGAGTGTGTTCATAATACTGGTCATTTTCCTCTCATAAATAATCAACCCACTGAAATTTAAATACCGCAATCAATGTGAAGCTGGAACTCTGGCTTAACACCATGCCTAGTGTCTAGGACTCTTTATGGATTTCATTAACATTACATTTGTTTCCGGAGAAAAACTTGTCTCCCCGACGATCCTCACACTGGCTCCTCTTCTCCATCTAAGAGGCTTAAGGTGGTTTGCAGTTTAGCAAATCCGGGGGTGGGGGTAGGGGTAGGGGTGGGGGTGGGAGAAGTGATGGACCTTGGAGGGTTGAATGCATTTGAAGAGATGACTGGATTATGGCACACTGTAGAGAGTGGGAGATGAGAAACAATGCCCGCCTTATCAAAGAAAATCCCAGAAAACTCCCCACAGAGGGTGGTGGGTTAAAGCAGACCCCTGAGCAGTTTCTAGGGATTCAGAAACCGCAAGCAGCCAAGCACAGGGACGGGTGTCAAAGGGTTAAGACGCCAAAAGCATTTTAACCCTTTGCCAAACACAAGGAGACCCTGAGAACACAAAGTTAGAGCCTGGCAGATTCCTCTCAGATCCCCATGACTGTGAATAAAACTAAGGTTTCCCTCTGCCTCTGTGCTTCCTAAACACGTTGATTCATTACACAACCAAGTCAGGAAATAGGCACATCCATCTGAGGAAGCAGACAGTCCGCTGGAAAGTGAGGGGGGGTTGTCAGAGATGAGGTTTGCTAATGTAAAGCGCTCTCTCACTGACCGGTAAGCTGGGACCTTACCAGGATGTGTCTTTTTGCCACTTCCTTTCCCAAGGCCCCAGTGTACTACATAGAGTCCTGAGCCCTGTGCCATTCTGTTCAGGGCTTGTGAGGCTGTCCTGTGTTGTGTGTCCTGTGATGCGGTCTACACAAACCAGACCCCTAATGACTGGCACTTCATTCAGATGTCTTAACACGCTTCCCCAATGTTATCCTAAAAAAGGATACTGGTAATGCCTTGATACTTCGAGCCTGGGGGGGGGGGTTGGGAGGGGGGGAGAGACTGACACTGTGAAGGCTTGTCTTTGCTTTGCTGTTGTTGACATCACTGTGACTCTGTGTTCACCTGTATTGTAACTCATCCATCAGTGCGATTCTGTAACAGAAGCAGCTTGGCAGCCTGCAAGCTGCATGCATGTTTTTATGTCACTGGTGAAAGTCTGTTGACGGTAGCTCGGATATCACTCCCTCTGTATTTATGAGGTTTCAGAGAGATATATTGATTCTTACCCCCGGCCCCCCACCCCCTACCCCGGTTTTGTCCCTCTCAGATGAGGAGTTTTTAGTGAGGGAGTTTTGCATTAAGGATGGTTCACCTTTTGGCTGGCCAGGCCTCACCCCTTTGACCCCATCTCTAGTCTTTCAAAACAGTTGCTGCAAAATAATAATGGTAATAAAAGCAATGAAAAAGTGAATGGCTGTTTCTTACTAGCATTTTTTTTATAGACTATGGAGGTCTTCCGTAAGCTGAAAGGGAAAGATCTAGACAAGTCAACATGAGGACTAATAATGGCAAGGGGATTCAGATTATTAAAGCCATACTTCTATTAGCAATAAGGAGAAGCAGCATTTTGAGGGGATTTATCAAGGTGCTTTGATGAGACCGGGTAGTAGCTCAGGAAAGTATCGCAAGTACAATATGTCTACCCATGACTAACCATTGACTGTACATTTATTAATGCCAAATGGCCACAGAGCCCCAGTGGATTAATAATGTAGACACGTCTTACGGTATCGTGGGCTGGGTGGCCAGACCTACTGCAATGCTCCTCACTGAAATTGTAATTTTACATTTTTTTCTAGACTGTCAGTAAATACATTTTCCATCTAAAAATTTTTTCCCTCTGCTCGGCCTCGTTTTTATCTGTACTATGAAGATGATTGTAAAAATTAAATGCACTGTCGAAGTGGAAAAGAAAAGGCCCATTTCTATTCTTTTACTTGATCCTCTGCTTTATTTATCATAAAAACAAATAGGTCTTAGTTAAGGCAAACCAACACACACACACACACACACACACACACACACGGATATATATGTATATATGACCTGTGATGCCATTGGGATATGTAAAATCCCAATGTTTGCTGTTTGCTGTATTGAAAAGTATTTCTAAAGCTCAGACCCACTTGGTGTGCCAAACGGGTGTAAGATTAAATGAATGAGCAAAATTTTTATGGCTATTCAGTTTTAATGCCTTAGAGATTTACTGACCTGATAAGACACCAGACAAATGCCTTAGAATAACAACACACATTTTGATTCCGGGCATGAAACTGCAGGGGGAAAAGTTGGAAACGCATGTTTCTCCTTAGTTAAGGACTCTTATCCAGCTGTCAGAATGCCCTGAGAACCAATTTGTACCTCCTATGGCTAGAGTTGTTCCTGCACCATTGTGTGACCCAGAAAAGCCAGGTGGCAAGTGTCCTCCTGATCAGAAATGACTGTCCTTGTGTCTGCACCATGGCGCTTGTAGACTGATTACCATGGATCTATTTTTTTTTTGATATAAGTATTTAAAATGCACTGCGTATTGGAGAAGAATCCTTGGCTATTCATTTTTTTTTTCTTTTCTATTGCAGATTTACATTAACTGGTCAGTTTTCCTCTAAGGGGAAATAGTTAAGGGACTCTGACCTGTTGAACTGCTCCGTGGAGACCCATGGATGCAGGAGTCTCTCTGCCTCTAATGCTTTCTCAAAACAGAGAGGAAATGGAGTTCATTCTTTTGAACTGAGTGTTTGTGATTTGTGTTTGGTGTTTGTTTCTTGTTTATGTATTAACCCCAGTACACACTGTGCCGAGGCAGGCATCCTCAGTGCCAGAGACTTTTAAGCAATGTTATGCAAGATATAATCATCTTAAGTGACTTTGTACCTTCCAAGGATGTTGACATGACATCTTTCCAAAGATTTTTAACGTTTTTTTCTTTCTTTCTTTCTTTTTAAACTTGGTTTGGGGAGTCAACCAACTGTCTAAGCAGATTGGCAATGCTGATTTCTATAGAGTAGCACTGACCTCTAGTGGTTGATCTGAGTAACTACAGCCGTTCACACATTTTAGCGTCTTGGTTTTGTCTTTTATGAACTTACTGGCTGCATAGGTTTCTCTATGCATCGTATTTACTGTTAACTTCGTTATGATGGATAATTATCATCATGTTATCAAAGATTTGGATGTCTATTCATATTTTCTCAGTGACAACAGGAAGAAAAGCCATAAAATTGGTATTGAGAGCTAGCAACAAATACCCAAAGACATAGAGCAATAAAAATAGACAAATGCTTTAAGCATTTGTACTCAACGATATTAGCCCAAGTAGTCTGTAATGCTTTCATTAAAAGCGTTAATAATTTTTGTGGTCGGGATTCTGAAATAGAGTATAACAGGCTTGGGGAACCAGATCCCTGCTTTGCTATTGAGAGAATCAACTCTTGCTTGTCAGTAGTAGAGCTATCCATGGAGGGAAGCCTCCTCTTCAGCATGAGAACTGTTCTCCAGTTTGTCGACCATGTCAGTGACCTGTGCTTCTCGCCCCGCCTCCCCTCCCCCCAACCCCCCCCCCCCCCCCGCTTTCTCCCTCCTTCCTCCTCTGCTGCTAGCTAAACAGTGGTGCTATTAGCCTCTCTGACAAGGATGGTACAGTCTAAGAGGCGCTGATTCATGGATAATGAAATTATGCTCTCCTTCTGGGGAAAGGGAAAGCAGCATCACATGCGCAGCTTTGGCAAGGGATGTCAGGATGCCATAGGTGCACAGAGCGTCTCTTCCCTTGTCGTTTTGCCAATATGACAACACAAGTTGCTTATTTAAAATGCGGATTGGACTAGCATCAGGTAAGAGTGTTAGCCCATCAAGCTGGAGACCACGAGTTCCATACACAGTGAATAAGAGTTGAGCCATGAGAAATGAAAAATTAAAAAGCCAAGTGGTTTGGTTTTTCCCTGGGCCCAGCCCAGAGTTCTAATTGAGATCTAGATCTATAGCAAACCCCTGGCACCTCACTAACCTCGTACCCTCTTTTCCATGTGTATTTAAATAAATAAATAAATAAATAAATAAATAAATAAATAAATGGCATTTGGGACAAACTATATGCAGGAAAACTACTATCAGCAAAACTGAATAACAAACCTTGTAAGAGAAATAGAATGTGTGGGTATTAAATACTGTGTGGTAAACGGCTCCTCAAAGCAAATCAAACACCATCACCTAGATGTACAAGGAGAAGTCACAATGTCCTCAGGCACAGTAGTCAAGTGAGCTGGACCTGATCTTCACTCAGCCTCCACAGTCATTGGTGATGATTTGGAATTATTGGATAGACTATCGTAAAAATACCACAAAAGGAAACTAAAAGTTAATTTGTGTTTCACATGGGAGAAAAAATATCACAGCTGTGCGTGATAGAATAGAAGCCCTAGAAATTAAGATGAAATTCCTTTCTCTCTGACACTTGCTAAGTCAACTCAGGTACATTTCTTGGCTTCTCAAAATTTGAAGACACCCATGCATTAGACTAATTTGCTCTAACAACTGCTCACAGCTGTCGAGAAATGAGTGAGCGTGAAAAGCTTTGTTTTTATAAAGTGGTCCTTCCCTTTGTGTGTGTGTGTGTGTGTGTGTGTGTGTGTGTGTTTAAAATAGCACTTAGTGAGATACGCTACTGTGCTTGCTCTATGTTTGGTGTTTGGTACAGGTCAAAAAAAAAGAGAGAGAGAGAGAGAGAGAGAATCATTTTGTATCAGGGAGTCTAGAACTTTT